TCTAATTATTAGTCATTTAGAGTACCTCTTCATGTGGCTATTGATAGCATTGGGTATTTTTCCCCTTTGAAAGCTATCTGTTCATAATCCTTTGACCTTTTATCAATTGGAGAATGGCTCCTATTCTTGTAAATTCGACTCAGTTCTCTATTTTAGAAATGAGACCTTTATCAGAGAAACTTACTGCAAAGATTTTTTTCCCTATGTTTCTACTTTTTTTCTAATTTTAGTTAATTTTCTAATTTTTTAATTTTGTTTTTACAAAAACTTTTTAATTTGTGTAATTAAAATTATCCATTTTACCTCCTGTGAATCTCTCTATCTGTTGTTTGGTCATAAACACTTCCTTATCCATAGATCTGATAGGAAATGTATTCCATGCTCCATTAATTTGTTTATAATATCACCTTTTATGGCTAAATCACATGCCCATCTGAGCTTATCTTGGCATACATTGTGAGATGTTGGTCTATACAGAGTTTCTGCCAGAATACTTTCCAGTTTTTCCAGCAGTTTTTGTCAGATAGTAAGTTCTTGTCCTAGGACATAGGATCTTTAAGTTTATCAAACACTAGGTTACCATATTCATTTACTTCTGTAGATTGTGTACCTAATCCGTTCTACTGATCAACCTTTCTGTTTCTCGTCCAGAACTAAATTGCTTGATAATTACATCTTTACACTATAGTTTTGGATATGGTATTGCTAGGCCCGCTCCTTCCCATTTTTTTTTTCATTGATTCCCTTGATGTTCTTGACATTTTATTTCTCCAGATGAAATTTCATTATTTTTTCTAGATCTATAAAGTAATTCTTTAGTAATTTGATTGGTATGGCATTGAATAAGTAAATTAATTTAGGTAGTATTTCCATTTTTATTATGTTGATTTGGCCTACCCATGAACAATTAATATTTCTCCAATTATTTAAATCTGTCTTTATTTGTGTGAAGAGCATTTGATAATTGTATTCATATAGTTGTTATGTGCAACTTGGCATATTGACTCCCAAGTATTTTATATTGTTATTACTCTATAAATTATTCTCCTGGTTCTACTCCCTTCACTTTGCATCAGTTCATACAAATCTATGCTCATTTGCTTCTGTATATTGTAAACAGTGTGGCCTTGTGTAGTCCCTGATGATGTCCCATTCATAGTTGCTTTTCTTGAGGCCTGTGTTTGAATGTCAGATTTTCTACTTAGCTCTGGTCTTTTCATCAGGAATGCTTAAAAGTCCTCCCTTTTGTTAAATGTCCATTTTTTCCTTATGGGATTATACTTAGTTTTGCTGGGTGGGTTATTCTTGGTTTCTATCCTAGATTCCTTCCCTTCTGGCATATTATATGGCCTCCATTCCTTTATAGTCATGGCTGCTAAATTTTATACGATCCTGATTATGGGTATATGGTACTTGAATTATCTCTTTCTGGCTACTTGTAGTATTTTCTCTTTGATATGAAAGCTCTGAATTTTGGCGATAACATTTCCTAGGAGTTTTATTGGATTCTTTCACTTTATCCTTTGTCCTCAGGTTCTAAGAGATTTGGACAGTTTTCTTTTTAAGATTTCTTGAAATATGATGTCTAGTTCATGGCTTTCAGGTAGTCCAATGATCCTTAAATTATCTTTCCTTGACCTATTTTTTAAGTCAGTTGTTTTTCTTATGAGATATTTCACATTTTCTTCTGTTTTTTTAGTCCTTTGACTTTGTTTTATTATTTCTTGATGCTTCATGGAGTCATTCGCTTCCATTTAGCCAATTTTAATTTTTAAGGAGTAATTTTCTTCAGTAAGGTTTGTATCTTTTTTTTTTAAACCAAGCTGTTCATTTTCTTTTTATGATCTTCTTGGATATTATTTATTTTCCCATTTTTTCCTCTACAGCTGTTATTTGAATTTTAAAATCTTTTTTTTCCTTTTTTTAAAACTCCTTCTTTAACTCTTCTACGAATCCTTTCTGGGGTTGTGTCCAAATTGCATTTTTCTTTGAGGCGTTGTTTTAGATGTTTTCAAGTCATTGTCTTTTTTCTGTGTTTGTGTCTGGAGCTTCTCTGTCACCATAGTAGTTTTTTATGGTCAGGTTCTTTGTTTGCTCATTCTTCCAGCCTGCTTCTTGGCTCTACTCACTTTTGAGAGAGATATCTAGCCTGAGTTTCTATCTTTTTATGCCCTTTTGCTGCTTTTACAACTCAGTTGAGGGGAGGGGGAACCTGCAAGTTTTCAGTGCTTCCAAAGTGGTATGATCCAAAGAAATTGACCTCCTAGTCTGAGTTCTATAAGATTCTGACCCAGGTTTGGTTTTGTTGGAGTGTGCATGGTTGTGTTTTAGTAAACTGCTGCTGGATGCAGTCACTGTTAGCCCAATGGAAAGTTAATTCCACTGCAGGCTTATGTGTACCACTAAAATTTATAATTGAGACCCTGCTCTGCTCTTGAGCTCAGAACCACACAGCTAAATTTCTGAAACATTCCTCACCTCATACACAGTGAGCAGCTTACTTGCTTGTGACCATTCCTCTCCACTCTAGGAACTAGGTAATAGGCAACAGTTTCCAGATGTTATTCATTCCTGTTCCCAGCACTATTTCATGGGTTCCCTAGGATTTCTTTCTACCCCAGTAGTCTTAGCCATCCCTAGGTGTTCAAATGTTCTTCATTTCTGCTACTGAGCTGTGTTCCTGGCTAGCGCCCACCCCAGTGTCCAAAGACCTCTCTGGTAAACTGCCCTGTGAATCTTTCACTGTGAATTCATTGTGAATCTTTTCTTAGTTTTCCCAGTTAGAATTTGGTCTTCCATGTTTTCTGGGTTGTTGTGAAGGAGGGAAGCTAGATGAACTAGACAAAAATGTTTTCTTTCACTCTGCCATCTTGACTGTGCACCCAAATGTGTTACTTCATTTGATGAAACATAAGTTTCACGAGGACAGAGATTGTTACATTTTTGTCTTTGTATCACCAGAACCTGACACATTATTTATTAATGATTCTAGATTGATTATATGGCTTTGAGCAAGCCTCTTAACATCTCTGAGCCTTGGTTTCCTCATTTGTCACAATGGGGCAATGAACTTTCACAACCTGCATCTCAGGGTTGGTATAAAGTGCTATACAAATTGTGGGTAATAATATGAATTGTCACTATTGTCATTTGGGAAAAGGAAATGGAAAAACACTCCAGTATCCTTGCCAAGAAAACCCTATTGACAGTATTGGTGTGCTATGATCCATGGAGTCATGAAGAGTTAGAGACAACAAAAACCATTGTTATTAGATAATGTGATCCCCTTCCCATAGTGATGCTCTTTAGGGTCTCTCAAACATAAAAATAATGCCACACATGGAACATCTACTTCTGGTTTGCAGAAAATGAATAGTGATGGTCCATTGGAATCCAAGAACTCAAAGCATTTCTCACACAGCAAACTGAGCAAACCCCAGTTTACCTTCTAGAGAAATATGGCCCTAAAAAATTAGTTCCCAAGGGGCAGCTAGGTGGCACAGTGGATAGAGCACCAGCCTTTGGATTCAGGAGGACCTGAGTTCAAATCCAGCCTCAGACACATAACACTTACCAGCTGTGTGACTTTGGGCAAGTCACTTAACCCCATTGCCTAGCCGAAAAACATATATACATACATAAGTAAATAAATAAATAAATGAATGAATGAATGAATGAATGAAAATAAATTAGTTTCCTCCATTTTTATTTTGACAGTCAATATAATAAGTACCATTTATTGCTTTCCCAGATGGAGTTTTCACTTATGACCCTATACACATTAAGTGTCTACTATGTGCCAGGCACTCTGCCCGGTAGGGTATAAAAAAAAAAGAGGCAAAAGGCAGTCCCTGCCCTCAAGGAGCTCACAATCTATTAGGGAAGACAACATGCAAAAACAATTATGTGCAAACAAGCTATATACAGGATAAATTGGAAATAATCGACAGAAGGAAAACATTAGCATTAATAAGGATCTAGAAACATTTCTTATAGAAGGTGGGGTTTTAACTGGGACTTGAAATAAGCCAGGAGGTGGAAATGAGAGGGAGAGCATTCCAGGCATGAAGAATAGCCAGTGAAAATGCCCTGAGTCAGGAGATAGAGTACCTAGTGCCAGCAAGGAGATCAGTGTCACCGGATCACAGAATATATATCCCTGGATGAGTGAATAACCACTAGCAAAACTACCCACAGCTCTTACCTCTAGGACAGCAGTCAGCAATGTCTTTACTCACAAGTGCAACCCATAGAGCCAATGAGTCACATCACCGGGTCCCCTTGACTGACCTAAAGGTACAGGAAGGAAGGAAAGAAAAAAGGAAGATGAAGAAGTGGAAATAATGTTATTTAAATAAGGCTTTTAAGTTTACAAAGTTTTTTTTTTCTCACAAAACTTAGATAGAACAGTAATCCCCACCTTACAGATGAGGGATGTGGAGGCATAGAGAGGTAAAGTAATTTGCTTAGAGTCACTGAGCTAGTAAGTGTTGAAGCTAAGACTCAAACTCAGAGTCTTCTGCCTCTAACGTCAGCGCTTTTCTCCTCTGAACCCCTTAAGAGAGGTTATGCCTCTTAAAAGAAAAGTAGCAGCAGGGGAACTAAGTGGTGCAGTGCATAGAGTGCCAGGCCTGGAGTCAGCAAGACCTGAGTTCAAATACAGCCTCAGATACTTGTTAGCTGTGTGACCCTGGGCAAGTCACTTACCCCTTAGTTTCCTGATCTGTAAAATGAATTGGAGAAGGAAATGGTGAACCGCTCTGGTATCTTTGCCAAGAAAACCCAAATGGGGTCACAGAGAGTCAGACATGTCTGAAAAACAACTGAACAAAAATAGTAGTAGTAGGGGTGTGTGTGTGTGTGAAAGAGGAAAAAGAAAGAAATATGTGTATGTGACATGTTAGAGTAAAACCAGGGACGTCCATTCCATAGGTCACCTTCTGATTTAGGCTGGACCTCCCCTAGGGCAGACAGTGTTTTACTGATCCTTCTTCTTTCAGGGAACCTGGAACAAGCCAATGAAGAGTTGCGAGCAATTATCAAAAAGATCTGGAAACGGACTAGCATGAAGCTCCTAGATCAAGTAGTTCCCCCAGCTGGTGGTAAGTACTTTGCTGAGGGCCTCCCTCCTCTCTCCTGCTGCAGCTTTTCTTCCTGACACCCATTTTTCTCTAGTGTTCTCTGGAGCCCCAGGAAGAAAGTGCTTAAATGAGTGGTCTTGAATCCAATAGACCTGGGGCATCATAGAGTAGAAAAGTATCTCCAGATCCTATATCTAGGGCTTGCAAGCACTCTTAAAGAGACAGGAGTGATAGACTTCTGTGGAGAAGGCCAAGCAAATTCCCTTGATACCAAGATGCTAGGCAGAGATGGCCATAAGCAGAACTCTCATGAAAGCCCACAGAAAATTGGACAAACCTCTGTTTATCTTCTAGGGAAGCTTGACCCTGGAAAAATAAGACTCTTCAATTATTATTTTGTCCAGAATCATTTACTTCATCCTAGACTAACCTGGGCAGAATTTTGAATGACCTTCTTATTTGAGAATGGAAGTGGTGTCCCTTGAGACTGTAGCAGATTAAAGGTACCATTACTTCAGCATCTATAGGCTCTGCTTGTAGAAAGTAGGGAAGCAGGAAGGTCATCCAGATCTCACCAGATTTGGCCTGAAAATCCCCATCCCCTTCCCCAGTCTCTTAAAGAAGGGGCTTGCCTAGGGAAGGGAAAGTGCTTAAGTTTTTCTCTTGGGAGCTTGACTGCGGGTCAGGGCAGAGAGGGGAAGGGGGAGGGGCTTCAGCACAAGGTTCTTAGTTGCCTAACCCATCCCTCAAATAGGGAATTAATACATTGCTTCTGATCTTGGGTGTCTAGGGACTTGATTCATTCATCCAGCAAGAATTTATCAACATCTATCTAAACAGTGGATTAAAAATTAATTAAAAACTAAATTGCCCTAAAGCTGTTTACATCTACTAGGGAAATGGCGGATACACAAATAAATAAATATAAAACATATGCAAAGTAAACACATGACAATTTCTGGTGGAAAGGGGATCTGGCTTGGCTTTCCATAGAAGGTAGCCCTTTCATGCGGTTGAAATCTGTATATCCAGTCCTAGTCTCTTGAGCTACAATCCTACCTCACCAATTAGAGATTTCTAACTAGATGTTCCATAGGCATTTCAAACTCAGCATGCCCAAAACAAAACTAATTCTTCATCACCCCAACCCCAAATCTTTCCCTGTTTCTAAAATTCCTTGTTTTTGTTGAGGGCAACACCTTTCTTCTAGTCGTTTGCAATCTCAGCTCTTCACTTTCTCACACACCGCTTATCTAATCAGTTGCCAAAGTCTTGTAGATTTCTTCGTCTGCAACATGTCACATCTGTCTACTCTCCCTTTAATCAGTCACCACCCTTTCTCAAGCCCTCATCATCTTCCACCTGGACTATTGCACTAATCTCCTAATTATTCTCCCAGCCTTCAATCTCTTACGTAGGTTCTCCGTCCTCCACACAGCTGCCAAAGTGACAGTCCCAAAGCACAAATCTGGACTAATCACTCAGCTGCTCAAGAAGTTCAGATTCCTATTGCCTCTGAAATAAAATAAAAACTCCACTACTTGACATTTAAAACCTTTCACAACATGGCTCCAGTCTACTTTTTCAAGCTTATTGCATATGATTCCCCTTTATATAATCCCAGCCAACCTACCTATTTGTTATTCCCTGTATATTTCACCTCTTATCTCCAAGCCTTTGCATAAACTGTCCTCCAAGCCAGAAATGTACTTCTTCCTTACCTTTGCCATATACAATTCCTAGATTTCTGCAAGGCTCCGTTTAAGTACTATCTCCTATACAAAAGCTAACCAGATTTCCCCAATTGCTAGGGTTTTTCCATCCAAAAGTAATTTGTATTTCATATAAATACATGCATGCACATATGTAAATACAAATATATGCATAAAATATAGAGTATGTGTACATATATATAAATATAGTGTGAATACATATATAATGTTTGTATACATATATAGAGTATTGTACATGTAGTGTATATAAATATATAGTATATATATATGTAAGGCATATATACATACATATACTTATGTACATGCATTGTATTATGCCTATATAGTGTATATACATATACATCTATACCATGTGTATACATATGTACCTATACATGTGTATATGATATGAACATACATACATATATGTGGAAATATAGCGTATGTACATTCATGTAAATTTTGTGTGAGTGTACATGTACATATTATATTTATTGTGTGTGTGTGTGTGTGTGTGTATACAGCTATGCATTATATGCTATTTACTTATTTGTGTCACCACCACCTCCCAAATAGAATGTAATATAAATTTCATGAGGGGAGAGATCATTTTATTTTTGTCTTTGTATCTCCAGCATCTAGCATGGAGCCAAGTGCATAACTGGTGCTTAATAAATTTGTATTGATTGATTGAAGAAAGACTATTGGTAACTATTGGCAGCATGTAAAGGCTACCTTCTATGGAAAGCCAAGCCAGATCTCCCAGTTGTTACTGCCCTTTCCACCAGAAATTATCACGTGTTTACTTTGCATTTGTTTTATATTTATTTATTTGTGTACCTGTCATTTCCCCTACTAGATGTAAACACCTTTAGGGCAGGGACTGTTCAATTTTTAATTAAATTTTAATTCACTGTTTAGATAGATGTTTGATAAATTTGGTAATGTAGTTTCATTTAATGGTAGGAAGACTCAGGCTTTCCAGTTAGAAAATAGAACATAAGCTCAGAGGGGAAGAAGGCAGCCAGGTCTAGGCTCCAGTCTTCCTTTTACTCCCTTCTTAAAAGCCCAAAGTGTTGCCTTGAGCTATTCACTTAACTCCCATGGGCCTCAATTTTAGCTTATGTAAAATGAAGGACTTAGACTGAGGTCCCTTTCAGCTTTCTGGGTATTTGGAACTTAATGAGAATTAATCAGGAATTATTGATAGCAAACATGAAATTGCATTCCTTGTTATACACGCTAACTTTGCTTCCTCCCAAACCTTCCTCTCCTCATCCCCTGGTGCTACACACCACTCTCAGATGATGAAGTGACTGTTGGGAAGTTCTATGCCACCTTCCTGATCCAAGAATATTTCCGAAAATTTAAGAAACGCAAAGAGCAAGGACTGGTGGGCAAGCCCTCCCAAAGGAATGCGCTGTCTCTACAGGTGAGAAACTGGAGCAAGGACTCTACCTTTTTGTGTGTCATTGGACCTCTTTGGCAGTCTGAAAAGACAAGCCTATGGATCTCTTCTCAGAATAATGGGTTGGGCTTTTTTTTTAATTCATAATTGAATAACTTTAAGATGAAGGCTAATAAAATGCCAAGTGGATTCCCAAAAGTTCAGAGCCTCTGGGCTAAAGAGAGTTAGCACACCCATCAGATTTGATCTCCTCTTCCTCATCCTCACTCTTCTCACTTGTTGCCTGTGGGTTCAAGGTCAGCCCTACAGAGTGAAGACATCAGAGGTTTCCAAAGCCTCTGAAAGCTTCCCTAATTTTCTAAATTTTCTAAAGGTTGATATGCCACCCTACTCTCACACTCTGAATGCACTGGAAGGAACCATGCTCATCCTAGGATGTGGGATCTCCCAAAGATGATATGGCTGTCCCTATTTCTCTGCTATGTCACTTTTATAGGTACCTCACTGTAGAACTGTCCATCAACAACTGGACTAAACAGACTTGGGGAGAGAGGGCTTTCTCCCCTCCACAGGTCTATGCAGCTGGACAGATCCAGAGCATATCATTTAACCTCAGGGAAGCTCCCACACTGTACTAGGTGCTACTTTCAATGTGAACACAAGCTGATAAAGGATACAGACAGATATAGCCATATACATGTAATATATGTATGGATGTATCTATACATATATCCATACATATTATATATGTATACACAAACTAGACAAACAGGTACACACTGATCACCTGCTAAACAGAGAAGCAGTAAATTTGGTTTGGTCAAGGGTGGAGTCGAGGTAATAGGGAGACTGCTGGCTTGATGCCACCTGGATGTGGGAGGCTGTGACGTGGAGAAAAGAGGGTCCTCACACCACTTGGCTGTTCTCTAGGCTGGTCTTCGTACACTGCATGACATCGGACCAGAGATTCGACGGGCCATCTCTGGGGACCTGACAGCTGAGGAGGAGTTGGACAAGGCTATGAAGGAAGCTGTTTCTGCTGCCTCGGAAGATGACATCTTTAGGGTAGGTGGATGCCTGACCCTCCAGCACAGATCTCTAATATGCCATTTTTTTAAAAAGTGGACAAAGAAAAACAATCAACTGAGTAGGCTTGATTTGCTATGTTGGATTCTTGTCATTCTACTTCCCATCCTTTTCTTCATCCTCTCCACTCACCTTCTGCTCCCTCTCTGACTCCAATCCATACTAGCCACACCCTGAATTTATTGCCAGCTAGAGAGGTGGGAGGAAACTGGGAAGAACCAGTCAACTCCTGGATTGGGAGGAGTGTATCCTGTGCAGGGAATGGGTTTCTTCCTCTGCACTTGGAGGTGGACCTTTCAAGAGGGATATCTCTATAGCAGAGGAGAGCTCCTGACTATGTTTGTATCAGGGCTCATTCCCAACAACTTCTGTCCTGGAGCTTTGGCAAGAACTAGGATATAGGGGAGCCCCTTCTTCAGTGTAAGTACACTATTGTTTCATCATCATCATCTTCCCATCTCCCTTTTTTCTCTCTCTTTCCTTTCCCTAACTCTTGTAGGCTCATAAATAGGCTTAAAGATTTTAAGTTTGAAGGGATCTTAGCGTTCACTGATTCTGCCTTCTTCATTTTACATATGAGGAAACTGAGGTGCAGAAAATGTAGCTGACTTGTCCAGGGTCACACAGACAATAAGCAGCAGAGCTGGATTTCAAACCCAGTTACTTTGACTCCAAATTCTATGTTCTTTGTACTGTACCGTGATGTCCTGTTGGACTCCCTTCCTTCCCTTCTCTCCTCAATCAAAAGCAAATTGACTTAGGGAAACAAATCTCTACTGGAGACTATACTACCACGGCTTCATATAATTTCACTGTTTTTAGAATACATCAAGTTGAAAAAGCCCTCCTATCACAGCTCTAATACACCCTGGTGTCAGAAAAGTAACCAACTTGTGAATAGCCACTCACTCCTCCACCCAGAGTAATCCGTTAGTCAGTAGGCATTTAAGAGGCACCTACTATGTGCCAGGCACTATGCCAGGAGGTTCTGAAGACTCAAAGACAAAAATGAAACAATCCCTGCTTTTAAGAAGTTTTTTATTTTATCAAGACAAGAAAAAACAATTGGGAAAGAATACTGGCTGAATGTCTTTAACTCTGAGGGATCTCCTGGGAGAAGGACAGATTGTATCTGAACAACGTGGCCTAGCAGATTATTGGTCTTTATTGTCTTCCCAGCCTGGGTGGGAAAATCATAACCATATGAGTCTTTTGGTTCCCCCCTCTTGAAATCTAGCTTGGAAGGGAAAACTTGTATTCCCCATCACTGGCTCAGGGTCCAGCCAAGAACCTGATTGATATTCAGCCATACCATCTGGAAATACTTGTCAAATCCAGGCCTGAAAGTCACCAGCTTTAAAGGGTTTATTTTTTTAAATCCCTAGACAATTTTTGGAATTATGGGGATGTTAGCCTCTAACTTCTGTCCCTTTAATTCTGTCCTTTTTATTTCTCCTAGTTATTTCACAAAGGGCAGGGTCCTCTTCCTCTTAAGTGTCCATGTCAATCAATCAGTCAGTCAGTCAGCATTTATTAAACACTGACTATATATGCCAGGCACTGTGCTAAGTGATAAGGTCCTGTTCCTATGTAGTATTTCAGCTTCTACTACAAGTAACCCCAGAAGTAGCTGATGGGGACTAAACTTTTCTGCTCCTGGGATTCTGATTGAGGATTATTTCTCCAAAGGAGGGGGAGGAGACAGCTGAGAGAACATTATCTTCTCCCCAACTCCTACCCTGTCTTGCTTACAGAGGGCCGGTGGCCTGTTTGGCAATCATGTCAGCTACTACCAAAGCGATGGTCGAAGCTCCTTCCCCCAGACCTTCACCACCCAGCGCCCACTGCATATCAACAAGGCGGGTAACAGTCAAGGCGACACGGAGTCACCATCCCATGAGAAACTGGTGGACTCCACATTCACTCCCAGCAGCTACTCATCCTCTGGTTCCAATGCCAACATCAACAACGCCAACAACACTGCCCTGGGCCGCTTCCCCTGTCCCACCGGTTACCCCAGTACGGTCAGCACAGTGGAGGGCCATGGGACCCCCTTGTCCCCTGCCATCCGGGTGCGCGAGACAGCATGGAAGCTCAGCTCCAGGAGGTAAGCCAGGTGGAGAGATCTGCATTTGAAGTATGTGGGGCATAAGCAAGGTGGCCTGGTGGAAACTTAACCAAGGAAGTTAGGGGAGGAGGGGTGGTAAGGGAGAGAGACAGAGATAAAGACAGAAAACTCAACCCCTCAGTCTGCCCACTTTCCCTTAGGCTTGTAGTGTGTCTAATGATATCCTGGGAAGGAGATGGACACCATATTGGCCTCATACCTGACTTGAAGAATCTTTCATTTCACTTCATATTCTTGGAGCAATAAAACCTCTTCACCACACATGTAGGGAATCTCCATAATGCCAGGCTACATGACAGAGCCTTACGTGGCTAAACTGGATGATCCTATCCTGCCCCACTAACCCCCAACTGACATCCTATACAATTGTAAAAGAAAAAAAAATGGAGAAAAGCCCACCTATGCAAAAACCTGATAATTGTTTATTATTCAAAACTGTGAATTAGTGCCTCCACAAAGGGGAAAGCCCATTCTATTTCTGTCCCTCTTACTACCACAGTCATCCCCTCTTCTCTGTTTCAATGACCCAGAGCTCCTCTCCTTTATTAAAAGCTGCTTCCCCCCCCCTTCCCCAGGATCTGTTCTCAGTAATTTATACCTTGGTATAAACGTGTCTCTGTGTCTCCCAGAACAATTTGTATTTTAGCTTGATCACTACTTGTGAATTCAAAGGCTTTGATACCTGCCCAGGTCTGGTGGGGAAGGTATTTGAAGAGGGAGCCTGCCTATTTTGCCCCTTATACACCAAGACTTGCCCTACCCAGATGGTCTCAGCTGTGCTGTCTTCTTTCCTGACTTTGTCTTTGCTGCTCCCTCACCCCCATTTTTTGCTCCCTAATGGCACCAGGATGCATTGTTACAGAATGCTGTGATGGCAGGTGCCTCCTCTGCTGTGCGTGTCTGGAACTATAGCCAGGACCTGGGAGGGTCAGAACATGATCTATACTGGCAGCTTCATATCCCCTAAGTGAAAAAGGAAGAAAGGAAGAAGGAAAGAGGGATCACACACACACACACACACACACACACACACACACACACACACACACACATTGCATATCATATTTATTTAGTATTCTCTCCAGAAGAGACAGCTTACAGATGGTAGTGTCAACAAATTACCATAATATCTGACCACCAGAGAGTTTTCAGGGACCAGGTCTCTTCTGTTCCCTTCCCTGCTTTCTGTTTGAGGAGGAACGAACTACAAATTATCCTGCAGACCACCAGATGAGTGCTCTGATTAGGGAAAGAAAATCTTACTCTACTTCCATCTAAGGCACACTTTCTCACTCTTTATTACCCACTGTTTAATCCACTCATGGAGACAGTCACACAATCACACGGTCTGAGATCTGCAATAGTATCTGGTTTAAACACATACACACACACACACACACACACACACACACATACATACATACACATGTTTTATTTTTGTTTTAAGACTATAATCTTTTGACCTCACTTTGTGGAGGATGAGGAAGATAATCTAACAGGGACCATGGGTCAAAGTAGACTGTTTGATTTTTTGCGTTTATCTAAAGGCAAAAGGCCGTGTGGTGATATGAATACAGATCTAGAGAGGTCTGGGTTCAAGCCTACCTGCCCCCCAAACATACTGTCTTTGTGAACTTGGACAAGTCACAACCTCTTGGAACTCTAGGTAATTCTATGAGACTAGAAGTCATAGAGAAGGTGCTGACCTATATTAGTAGAGGGAGTTTCCTCATTTGGGGAGTCTCACTTATGAATGTAATCACATATCCTATTTAAAAAGGCACCACACCTTAATGCTGCATTAATGCCCTGCTAAGATAGCAAAAACAAAACAAAATAAAAGAACCAGAAAGCAAAAACAGAAACAAATAAAAACTATGGAGGTGATACCAGCATGTTAGGTTGACCCTCAATGGAGAATTTGTGGGAAAATACAGACAAAGATGGCACAGATATTCCCCCAAATCATCTCCCACACCTGGAACACACTCCTTCCCCCTCCTCAAATGTTTCTATAACCATTTGTCTTTGTCTACCTTCTGCCTCCATCACATTCTACCCTGTACCATACCATCTTATGTACCTGCCTACTCTCCCTAAGAGTTATGCAGTGGTAAATGCACAGTTCTTAATGTCAGAAGACTTGAATTGAATTCCTGTAACTATAGACAAACCACTTCACCTACCTGCTTCACACAGACATTGTAAAGAAAGTTTGTAAACCTCAAAATCCCAAATAAATATCAGTTCTTATTATTAAGTTCTATGGAGAAAGGGGTAGATATTTTTCATATTTCTATCCTCAATGTCTAGCATAGTGCCTCACACATAGTATGTGCTTAGTAAATGTTTATCAACTCTAAATGAACTGAGGGTTAAGGCATGAGTTCATCTTTATCATTTTCTCCATCCCCAGCAATGAAATCATGGATCTACCAAAGTATTGACAAGAAGTTGTTGGTTTTTTTTAAAAAATAATAGATAAAACCGAGGGAAACTTAAGAAAACAAGTTTAAATAATTTTACCTAGGGTACCTTGCCTGTCTTAACTGTGTTCCATGGACATTCCAATCCTCCTAAAACTAATCCAGTTATAACAAAAAGAATTTTTTCACATTTGTATGTCACTTCAAAAGTTACAAAGCACTTTTTCCTACAACAACTCTGTGCAGGAGGTATTGTAAATATTATAATCTCTGTTTCATAGCACACTTCAGGTAGTCTACACCCCATCTTCTGACTTCCCTATTTCCATCAATGGTGCCATCATTCATTCCATCCCCCACAAACCTTGATGTTGTCTTTAATTTTCTCACTCTCCTATCCACCTAACCCTGTTATTCCTATCTTTACAATATCTTTCCCATTCATCTCTTCTTTTCTTAAAAAAAATTAGTGAGCCAATCAGGGTTAAATGACTTGCCCAGGGTCATACAGTTAGTAAGTGTCAAGTATTTGGTCTGAGGCCAGATTTGAATTCATGTCCTCCTGACTTCAGAGCCAGTACTCTATTCACTGCACTACCTAGCTGCCCCCTATCCATCTCTTCTCCTCTCACCCTACCACCATTCTTTTTTAAACTCAATTTTTTTAAATTTTCTGTTCCGAATTTTCCCCTCCTCCCTCCCCCATCCATTGAAAAGAAAAAAGAAAAACAAAACCCCTGGGATACCTTCTCTCCCCCTCTTTGACTATTCAGTTTAATTCAAGAAGCAGTTATTAAGAAGCCAGTCTACCAGTTGCCAGATACCGTACTGGGGGAAAGGAGATGAAAACCAGTCCCTGCGTTTAAGAAGCTTACATTATAGGACAGAGGGGAGTGGGGAGGAAGACCCCAACATGTAAACAGATAAGTAAAAACAAAATATATGCAAAGTGATTTGTATTACTTCATATATATTAAAGGGGTATAGGGAATCAAAATAAACTTCATCTAGGAGATGGCATTGAACTTTGAAGGAAGCTAGCTAGGTATTCTACAGGGCAGAAGTGAGGAAGGAAAGTGTTGCAGGTATGGGGGAGACAGCCTGTGAAAAGGTACAGAGATAAGAATAGAATGTCATGTTCTGGGGAGCCATATGTGACTGAAATGAGTGTCTGAAGGAGAACTGAAGTTGAGCAGTGATGGGCTGGAGCCAGATTTTAAAGGGCTTTAAGAGACAAAGGAATCTGTATTTTATCCTAAGGGTTATGGAGACCCTCTGAGCAGGGGAGTGACTTGGTCAGGACTTCTACTTTAGGAATATCAGTTTAACACCTAGGTAAAGGATGAATGAACAGTGAGACAATTCTAAGAGAGAGAGAGAGAGAGAGAGAGAGAGAGAGAGAGAGAGAGAGAGAGAGAGAGAGAGAGAGAGAGAGACTAATTATATAATGTTATTATTATATAGTCTCTCTCCCTATATTATATAATAAGGCTATTATATGATCCTTGACAATTCCAAAGGACTCTCAGTAAAAAATGCTATCCACCTCCAGAGAAATAACTGATGGAGTTTGAATACAGATTGAAGCATGCTATTTTTACTTTTTTCATGATTTTTGTATGTTTTCTTTCAAAACATGACAATATGGAAATATGTTTTGTGTGATTGCATATGTATCACCTGTATCAAATCACTTACTGCCTCAGGGAGTGGGGAGGGATGGGAAGAGGGAGACAATTGAAAACTCAAAAAAAAATTTAAGCATATGTTAAAAATTGTTTTTACATGCAGTTGGGGAAAAAATAAAATATCCAGAAAAGAAGCAGTCCAAATGAAAGGGAATGAACTAGGGTGGTGGCTGTGTGAGAGGAAACAGCTGCAAGATATATTAAGGAGAGGGCTGATAGGTAGCACAGTGGATAGAGCACAGGACCTGAATTCAAATGTGACTTCAGACCAAATGCACTTGACACTTACTAGCTGTGTGACCCTGGGCAAGTCACTTAACCCCAATTGTCTAAAAAAAAAAAAGATATATTAAGGAAGTGGAATTGACAAGGCTTGGCAATTGATTTGGATGTGAGGAGTGAGGGAGAAGGAAGAGTGAAAGATAACTCTGAGATTGTAATATGTATACTACACAGAAATAAGGAACTTAGGAATCAGAGTAGAGGGTGGAATTTGGGGAACCAGGTAGAGACTGAGTCCTGCATAAGACTTGTTGAATTTAAAATGCCCACTCAAGCAGCTAAGTGGCACCATGGAGCCCAAAGCCTGGAGTCAGGAAGAACAGAGTTCAAATCTGGCCTCATATACGAACTATGTGACCCTGGGCAACTCACTTAACCTCTTTCTGCCTCAGAGCCTTCTGTTACAAAATGGGGGTAATAATAGCCCCTATCTCCCAGGATTGTTGTAAAGCTCAAATGAGATAATATGCGTAAAGCGCCTGGCACATAGTATGCTTGTTCCCTTCCCTCCATTGGACAGCTAGTTGGAGACGTCCAGTAGATGGTTGGCATTGAAGTACCAGAGTCCGTAAGAGAGAGTAGGACTTGGAGTAAAGAACAGGAATTCATCTGCATAGAGATGATAGTTAAGCCTGTGGGAGTTGATAAGACTACTAAGAGAAAGGGTATAGAAAGAAAAGAGATGACCTAGCACAGAGGCCTGGGGTACACCTTAGAATAGGAGGTAGGATTCTCCCCCAAAGAAGCCTGAGGAGCAACCAGACAGGTAGGAGAACAACCAGGGTCAAAAAACCCAGGGAAGAGGAAGTGGTCGACAACGTTCAATGCTTCAAGAGGTCAAGAAGGACAAGGACTGAGAAAAGGCCATCAAATTTGGGGGTTAAAAGGTCATTGGTAACCTTGGAGAAAGCCGTTTCAGATGAATGATGAGGTCGGAGGCCAGACTGCTTCCAATGTTGAGAAGTGTGTCTAAGGTGTGAAAGTGGAGGTGATGAGCATAGACAATTTGTTTTGTTTGGGTTTTTTCTCAGAATTTGGTTGTAAAAGGGAAGAGAGATATAGGACAGGAGCTTGAAAGGATGGCAGACTCAAATGAAGGTTTTTAAAAGATGGAGGAGATCAATACATATTTATAAGCAATAGAGAAGGAGCCAGTAGATAAGGAGGGGTTGAAACATGGAGAGAAAGAAACCAAACTCATCCTTTAGAATCCAACTCAAAACCACTGCCCCGCCCTTTTACCTAAACCCCTGCTCCCAGTAATGACATTTTCCTCTTCAGACATCCTGGATTTCAAGTTCTTTTGCAATGACCTTTTTCCTTCATTCCCCTGGAGGTCTCCATGGCTTTAGGCCCTTGGAAAGTCCTCCCCTAATCCTGTTCCAAATTATATTTATGCTAAAAGGTTCAGCCTCCCACAAGCATATTCTAGTTAAATAATAGTTAAAGCTGATTCTAGCATTGCTCAAAACTTAGCTGCTACATTTGTTTTTCCCAAGTCAGCATTTGGGTCTTGTCTCTCAATCAGCCTTAGTATTAGTAGCCATCATCTTCAGAACCTGTCTTCATTTCATCAACTGTGTCCCATAGCCAGAAGCAGACTGCCATCTGTCTCCCTTTCCCCCATTCAACCCATCCCTTTCCCCCCTCAACCTCCATCTAAGTTCCTGTTCTTCTTCTAAGGGAAGCATTCAGGTTACATTTAATTTATATGGCAGAGAAATACTGGATCAAGTCTTTCCTAGCTGCAATTACCAACTTCACTGATTTCCCCATGTTCATATAATGCCAAGAACATTGGACAGGGGGTTAGGGATAGACCTGGGTTCTAATCACAAATCAGACACTTATTGTTTGACCCTGGAAAATCACTTGATTTCTCCAAGCCTCTCTTTTCTCATCTAGAATATGGGCACAATAAGACTAATAATAACTCACATTTAATATATACACACACATACACACACACACACACACACATAAAATCTCACTTGAGCCTCACAATAACCTTGAGACAGGTACTAGATAGAGATATCTGAATGATGAGGATTATAGTAATATCTCTAGATCAGGGAATCTGTTCATTATTTAATCAGGACCTGGTTATATTTTAAAATTGTAATGCTAAGATTCTGGTAGACCTCTCCTTTTGGAGACAGCTGAATTATCTAGTAATAATAAGAAGTAGTTCACATTTATATAATGCTTTAAGGTTTACAAAAGGTTTTCCCCACAATAGCACTGTGAGGTAGGGAGATTGCATGGTGTGATAGACAGAGCCCTGGAAATGGAGTCAAGATAGACCTGGGTTCAAATTCCACCTCTGACACTTGCTAGGTAAGCACTAGCAAGTTTTTTAATCTTCCTGAGCCAGGTCCTAATTAGTTAAAATAATGAACAAATTCCCTGAAATGGTTGCATCACTTGAATTCACATTGCATATTTCCACTGGGCTGTAACCAATTGCAGGGGGGAGGAGGAGAAGAGGGACAGAATGAAACAAGCATTTATTAAGCACCTGTTATGTGCCTAGCACTGTGCTAAGGATTTTATAAACATCCTATTTATTCCTCACAACAACTCCGTGAGGTGGGTGTCACTATGACACTCATATTACATTTGAGGAAATGAAGGTAGACACAGGTTAAGTGACTTGCCTAAGGCCAACCAGCTAGTTAATGTCTGAGGCTGGATTTGAACTCAGGTCTTCTGACTCCAGGCCTAGTGCCACCTAGCTATGATTTGCCCAGGATTACACAGCCAGTATGAGTCAGAAGCAGGAATTTAACCTAGGTCTTCTTGGCTTCAATACTATGCTGCCTCTCCATATTAAAAAAAAAAAAAAGACAGATTTTTTTTTTTTCTTTTTTTTTGGTGAGGCAATTGGGGTTAAGTGACTTGCCCAGGGTCACACAGCTAGTAAGTGTCATGTGTCTGAGGCCAGATTTGAACTCGGGTCCTCCTGACTCCAAAGCCAGAGCTCTATCCATTGTGCCACCTAGTTGCCCCAAAACAGAGAATTTTAGAGGATGGTGTCAACCCTATTCTCAATAGGCAGAGTATTCCACCTTAGTTCTTTGTTCCCCATTTGACCCTTTTGCCAAGTTGCTTCTACCTCTAGGATAATAATATCCAATTAGAGGAGTCTCCAGTCACTCAGCTATGCCAAGTTGTGTGCCTCTACATGCAGAGAGGAGGAACATTTAATTCCCCTAACCTGCAGGAAGGAGAAGCTGGGGATCTTCTTAGAGTCCTGCACTTAAAGTCCTCAAATCATGTTTGACCCTGTAAAGCCTTTTCACATCTACTTTCTCATTCATTATAACTGTGTGGGGTAGATAGGACAGGCATTATCATACTTACTTTACAAAGGGAGGGACTCCCTTTGAGGCATCAAAAAGTAAAATGACTGAATCAACAGCACGTGACAATTTAGTGATAGAATTAGGAAAGGAACCCAGCAATTCTGACTCCGAGTCCAGGGCTCTTTCTGTGACATGACTGTATCCCCTTTCTAGACCCAATGTGCTGTGTCTCTCATATTCATTTCTTATGGAAGAAGTCATAGTAGAAATGTGACTGGACATTAGGAATGTCTTCCTTTTTTCTAGAGCGTGACTTTAGCCTGAGAGGGACATTTCTTGATTGTCTTCTGTGTTCTGTCTCCACAGATACCACTCCCGGGACAGCCGGATAGCCATGGTGTGCCCAGAGGAGGTAGCCCCCAACAAGAGCTATGAAGGGAATGTGAATGAAGACACAGAATACTGCAGCGAGCCCAGTCTGATCTCCACTGAGATGTGAGCCCAGCAGTTCTCTGCCCAAAGGGTGGGACCAGCTCATGTCAGGGAAAAGTTCAGCTTAGGAATGAAAGACTGAGGGGGCCAAAGACTCCTGAAGTTCTTCTCTGTTGCCCAGTTTAATTGGGGCAGGTCATAGAGAGGGATGACCTCTGTAGAATATCAGTGTTCTTTTGATAGCGTGGTGTACAACTCAACAGCAGAGATCCCTGTGAGCAAGGAGTGGGTGGAGATGCTGGTAAAACTAGAGCCTGTCCATTGCTTTCCTGAAAAGCTCATGTGTCCTACAGGTCAGTCAGGCTTTTGAAGAAAAAGTTGCTGTGGTAATCAAGGTAGCTAGCTGGCCAGATTGCTGCCTAATGAGACCTAGGAATCAAAGTGAGTTAAGTGGCAAACGTGCGTTTGAGAACTCCTACCAAGCAGAAGAAGCAAATATTCCCCATGCCGAATAACAAGGCAAAGTTTCCGGTGTGAGCAACTCATCACTACTCCCTTCTTTGCCCTGAAAAAGTACACAAAGTGCAGATTCCCAACAGGTCATTTCCCCAACATTGCCCTCTGGGGTTGTCTGACCCTGGACAGGAGCACACGTAAATCATTGTGGGGAATGACATAACCTGTCCTCTGCAAACAAACCCTGAGTTCTCTTTGTTCCAGGCTATCCTATCAGGATGATGAGAATAGACAGCTGACACCACCAGAAGACAAGACCAGGCAGTCTACGAAAAGAGGATTCCTCCACTCTTCCTCACTAGGTAACTGATCATGCCTCCTCCCCTTACTGTGGCCAGACATCTCCAGAGGTCCTTTCAGCAGGTAACCTGAGGTATGGGACTATCCCAGGAACCCTAACAGCTTCATTCCTTGCTTCCCCCATTCTTTAAAATACAAGATCATGGGGCAGCTAGGTGGTACAGTGGACAGAGCACCAGCCCTGAGGTCAGGAGGACCTGAGTTCAAATCTGGCCTCAGACCAAACACTTGACACTCACTAGCTGGGCAAGTCACTTAACCCCAATTGCCTAAAAAAAAAAAAAAATAAAATAAAATACAGGATCACATATGTAAAAGTAGCTTGAGGGAAAGAGAAAGATGGCATGGAGAAGCTTAAAAGTTGGTACATTTGGGTGAATTAACTGATAATAGTTTTCTAAACTAATTTATCCATGGAACACCTTTGAGCCACAAAACACCTTTGAGCATGAAATATATTGACATGATGTTGGCCCAGGGGAAGAGAATATCCCCAGCATAAAGAAGGAATTAGGAATTTTGGAACAAAATTGAGGGGTTAAGCCTATTTTCATATGAAAAACTTGCTGCCTCTAACAAGTACTTTTAATATATTATATATACATATATACACACATATATATGTGTGTGTGTGTATATATATAATATATATATACACACATATATATATACATATATATATATATACACATATATATATACATATATATATATTATATATATATAAAGTTTTATATTTACAATTTGAAGAGGGGAAATTTCCTCCCAAAAACCTGTTCACATTTATGAAACTGCATTGTTTCGTAAAACACAACTGAAAAATTAGGCCTAAGCCACTCCATTTCTTCATGTCTTCGACTGTGCTAATATAAAAAGGCTCTCCACTTGTTTTTTTCTGTCTACTTCAGGTTGTGTGTAATCCAGTCCTCCTCCCTGGGATACCAAGATGATACTACCCAAGGCACTGTGGGCTAGCTGGGAAAAGATTCTAGTCAGAGTCAGACACTCCACTGCAGAGATTAGGCCAACTCCTACGTTTGAACCCCTTGCTCTTGAACCGCCGGGCAGAGCTTCCAGAGACAAGACGTCAAAGGGATGGGGCTTTGGCATTTAAGGACAGTTGACAAAATGTCATTAAGCATCAGGGCTAAGGGTGGGAGAATAGGTGGTGCTTAGCAACCAGCCATCACTAGCTCCTGTTACACTTTCCAGAAAGACAAGAAATAGCTGGCAAGCCACCAAGAAATCCTCCCAGGATGACAGAACTCTGACCCTAGTTCATTGTGATTGGTATTGCAGGTCGAAGAGCCTCCTTCCATTTGGAGTGTCTAAAGATACAAAAGAACCGAGGGGGAGACATCTCTCAGAAGACAGTGCTGCCCTTGCATCTGGTTCATCACCAGGTAACCATTCTAGAGAACGCACTGACCACTGGAGCTAAAGAGCCCCGAAGAGCAGCTGAGCAATTCCTCAGCGTGTGAAGCCCTCCTACACAACATCACTCCTGCTTCTGTTAGAGCGGTGAAAGCAGGGAATGCTCTAGAGAGATAACATCATATTATAAATAGACCGGTGGACCTAGCTAGAGTTAGGATGACTGTGCTCTAATTTTCTTGGCTCTGACACAACCTATGTGACCCTAGGCAAGTCACCTCACCTCTATAAACCCCGCTTTCCTCATCTGTAAAGTGAGGATAATATTTGCACTAATATTGGTCGGTCCATAAGCATTTATTAAGTGACTACTAGGTGCCAGGCACTATACTAAACTGTTGTGAGGTAAGTTCTCTGTAAACTGTAAAGTACTATAGAAATGTGGATTCTTATTATTGGGAAACTCTACACTTTATGAAGCTCTCATAAAGGTCCCCTCAAGCTGTTAACCCCTCATGAAGAGCTGCTATAAGAAAATGTTCACAGTAAGGGCCACCAATTTTCCCCAAGTAGATGGGAGCCTTGGTAAGGACTGTAACTTCCCTTGGTGGAGACCCAGGTAATAATGCAGTTCAACAGACTCCTATTAGGCCCCTCTTCTTAAGAAAGATAACAAAAGAACCCCTGTTCTGAAGGAACCTATGTTCCAGCAGGGGAAGAAATATGGTATGAGGGAAGTCAAAGATAGAGAGAACACTGACAAATGAGGGATCTGGGGAGGTGAGGCCTGAGCTGAACTTTGAAGGAGTGATGAGGAATGCATTTCAGGGATGGGGAATAGCTTTATGCAAATATACGTAGGTGGGACATGGAGTATTGAGCTACACAATGGTCCAGTCTGGGTAGAGAGAAGAGAATAAGTCTGGAAAGGCATATAGGAGCCTAGTTACTGAGGCCCTTACATGACAGTAGGAGCTTTCTTTCTGAGGAAAAAGAGGGTCAGTGGCACAGGACATGATGATGCCAGTTCTCTCCCTGTGTTACCACAGATCATCTAGCATAAGGATTGAACTAGTCCTCATGAGCATTCAAGCCGAATTGGTCTTCCTTATAACTACAAGATATCAGGAAGACAAAGTGTAAGTTTGGTTTGGGACATGAACGAGTAAAAAGTTAGATGGGGTTTCCATACCAATGCAGAGCAGCAATAGCAGAGGACCTGATGAATGGTACAGATAACTTCCTCAGGAGTTCAAAGGAAGGAGAGGTCACCTCAGGCTGGCATGGGTGAGGGAAGAGGAGAGAAGAGCTTGGCTTGCTATTAGCATCTTATCTCCAAGTCTTCATCACCACCACCTGGTAAAACAAGGGGTCCACAATCTCCTGTCTTCCTTGCTGACCATAGTTGCATCCTTTGTGTCCACAGGCATTGGCAGTGACAGGCCTCAGCCCTCTCCTTCAGAGAAGCCATTCTCCAAACACCACATTCCCCAGGCCAAGTGCCACCCCCCCAGAAAGTCCTCATGGCCACGCCTGGCCCCTCCAGCCCATTCCTACACTGTGGCTAGAAGGAGCAGAATCCAACGAAAAGCTCAACAGCAGCTTCCCTTCAATCCACTGCAGCTCCTGGTATGCAGAAAATGCCAACTGTGGGGGCAGCAGGGGCAGCACCTCCCGGAGAGCCCGGCCAGTCTCCCTCACTGTGCCCAGCCAGTCTGGGGCAGCTGGCAGACAATTCCACGGCAGTGCAAGCAGTCTAGTTGAAGCGGTATGTGGCGTCAACCCCGTAGGAAGCACTGCACTGTTCTCAGCAGCCAGTAGAAATGGAGGGGATTTGCCAGGGGTCTTCAGAAAAGGAGGAAAGCAAATATCAGAATGAACTCAGCTCTTCCCAAGTAGGATTGTATACAAATCCACTTAACCAAAATAGTCTTGACCCTCTCATTAACCTTAGAATGCTACCCTGACCCATATAGAAAGTCGGCTTGTCTACCATTTAGTTTCCCTGGGGATACTGGGTAATGAGAATAAAGGCTTTTCAGATTTATGAAGGAATCTGACTGACCAAGTGAGCCCTGATACAAAATACAGAAAAACTAAATTTAATACAATCATCAAGCATTTCTCAAAGCACAGAGAGTAGTTTACTAAAGGTAACTGCAGGTCAAATTACACCCCCTAGGAACAGAGTGAGATGGCATGTACAAAGTACTTTAGCGAGCTTTAATGCGCTATTATTAATAATCATTTTTCTTATTGTGATTATGGCCTCTCTCACTAAAACATTGAAAGCCACCAAATAACAGGCTTCTAGGAATTGGGAACCAGTGCCTCCATTCCCAAGCCCAAGCGTAAGAATATAGGAAATATATTACTAGGTTCTTCCCAGCATAAGCCACCTAGAACAGACTGTCTCAACCATGGCAGTGCAGACATAGGATCATATACTGAAAGCAGGAAGGAACCTGAGAGTACAGCTCAGAAAAGCATCCCAAAGCTAATATGAAAATATGTTTTACATGGTTTCATATATATGTGTGTGTGTATATATATATACACACACACGTATATATACACATATATACACACATATATACATATATACACACATATATACACACACATATATACACACATATATACATATATACACATACATACATATATATGCATATATATATATATATGATCTATATCAAATTGCTTACTATTTTAGGTAGAGGGGAGGGAGGGAGAAAAATTTGGAACTCAAAATCTTGTAAAAATGAATGCTAAAAATTGTCCTTACATATAATTGGGAAAAAATAAAATACTATTTTTAAAAAGAGAGAGAAGCATCACAAAGGCATAAGTAGCAGAAATGACTGTAGATCTAGTCCTCTGACTCTAAATCTAGCACTCTTTCCACTGTGCCATGATAACTGTCTTCAGTCACGTGGGGAAAGGATTTGACTTATTTCTGCATGGCGCCATTGGAAAACCTAAACAGAATTTTCAGTGAAGCACATTTCTACCCATTGTAATGAAAAGTGTCTGACAATTAGAGCTATCCAGTCGGGGAATGGACTATCTCAAGAAGTAGTGAGTTTCTCATATCCGTCAGTCACAAGCATTTATTAAGTGTCTACTGTTGTGCCAGGCGACAATAACAACAGCCACAACAAAGCCTTGTCTTCAAGGAACATATGTTCTCATGGGGAGGCAACAGGTCAGTAGCTAGGTATATCCAAGATACACACAGAGTAGAATAAGCGTAACCTAAGAAGGAACACCATTAGCAGCTGGGGGAGGGGGGGACTCTTCAGCAGATATTGAATGACTACTTGTGAAAGATGTTGTTGAGGGAATTACTCTGAAGGCCCAGGTTGAACTAGATAAGTTCTGAAGTCCTTTCCAGCTCTGAGATTCTCTATGAGTCTGTGATTGATTCGACCACATTTGAGTAATACTAGATATTGCTGTATTAGGTAGCTGGAGGACAAAGTGAATGTTAAATGTAACCATGACAGGCCAAGGCTAATGAGCCTGATACAGTGGAGAGAGCTCTGGAATTAGAGGACCTGGATTCAAATCCCATCTCTATTGGTGTACTAACTGTGAAACTTTAGACAAATCCATGAGCCCCCTTTGGGACTCAGTTTCCTCATCCACAAAACGTTGGACTAGTCTTCAAGGTCCCTTCCGGCTTTTGGTCTATGATCATAGATCATAATAGGTTGATGATGCCAGGTCCCTAAGCAGAGTTCCCAGGAGCTTAACCTAAGTGCACAGGAAATCAGAAAAAATAATCCATTGCCAGAATCCTGAGGAAAGAAGTCCGCCTCCTATAATGATTTCCTTATTTGGTTCTTCTATCTCATCCTTTTATCTCCTCCTCAGGTCTTGATTTCAGAAGGACTGGGACAATTTGCTCAAGATCCCAAGTTCATCGAAGTCACAACCCAAGAACTTGCTGATGCCTGTGATATGACAATAGAAGAAATGGAGAATGCAGCTGACAATATCCTCAGTGGTAGCAGCAAGCAGAGCCCCAATGGCAACCTATTACCTTTTATTAACTGCAGGGACCCGGGGCAGGACCAAGCAGGTGGTGAGGAGGAAGAAGGAGTGCCCAACCCCGAATGTCGAAAGAGTGAGGAGGAACTCCAGGACAGCAGGGTTTATATCAGCAGCCTGTAGTTGCTGGGGCTGTCATGATTCGGGGATTTTTTTTAATTTGTTTCAATGTTCCTAATAGGTTCGTTTCAGAAGTGCCTCACTGTTCTCGTGACCTGGAGTTAACCGGAACAGCGTTCTTCATTCATTTCTGTTGGGATGAGAGACAGAGTTGGGTGGTGATGAGAGAGAGCTTTTCAGGGGAAGGAGAAGCAACAACCCCAGTCCACAGGTGTAGAGTGGTGAGAGGTGGAAGAATAAGGGAGGGAGGAGGAAGAGACCAGGTACCTGCCCCCTCCTTACTTCAGGCCCTATACCAGAAAGTGACAGCTGCCTACTGTGCAAGAAGGATAATATCAGTTTCCTGTGGGCCACCCTCACCAAAAGGACCCTGCATCAAATGGGTGTCTTTCAACTTTGCTTGTAAAAAAAAAATCATTTTTGCACATATTCTGTATGAGCCTCACTGTCTCCATAGAGCCAGGGCCCTATGGATTTGGAAAAGGAAATGGTGGCATGACTTCTGCTGAAGATCCCAACACTTTGCCAAAGGGGGAGGAAGAAGAGGAAGAAAGATGGCAGGAGAAGCTTTTAGGAGAGGGGAGCAGGGGGAAGGCAGGGGGAATGTATAGAAAGGTACCAACCACTGCAGCTACAAGCCAAGATTCCAAGGTGATTGGGCAGGCAGCTCTGGCCATGCCCACCCCTTCAGGTTAGGGTCACATTGCCTGCACAAGCCACATAAAGCTCTGCGTTAGCAGTGGTGCTGAGAAGTCAAGGCTTATAGGGGATTGGCACTGCCCACTAATGTAGCTCGCCTTACAAAGTAAGGTGGCACAGGGCTTTTGTAGAGTGCTCATTTGTTTTTGCCGTTTTGATATTTTTCTTGGCAGCATGTTCCAGTTTCCATTTTTAATTTTGATTTCTGAGGGTTCAGGGAGGAGGGAGAGTGTTTACGGGGCTTTTAAGCCACCCACCTTATCATTTTCACTTTGGCAAATGTAAATCAGGTTTGGTTTCATTGTATTATTTAAACAGTTGTGTTCTTGTTTGTTTTTGGTGATGTTGGGAGGAGGGGTTCTTTTTCCCCATTGGAGATTCACTAGAAACTGTTACAGGAGAGTTTTACCAACATTTGTGTATGCCCAAGACTTTATTATTTTTTTTCTTTGGTAGTAACAGAAACCTGGGGGGTGGGGGCAGGGTGTTTTGTTCTATAATTTAAAGATAGTAGGCAGTGCACTCAATGTAATCTTGCGCATGTGAGTGCTTGAGTTGGGTTCATTTCAATTGGTTCTGTTCATGGATGCCAGAGATAGAGGTATGTGTGTGTGTGTGTGTTGATGTGCCTAGTAGGTTGAGTTGGGTGATACTGCATGGGTATGTATGTGTATGTATGCGTGCATGCATGTGCAGTTCTCCACTCTTTGGTTTAGCCCTACAGGGAGATCTGATTCTGGGGCCATTTGAATGCAAAAACAAACCACTGTCTCTGTTTCTGAAAGGGAAATCAGTAACTCTCTGCATTTTCTGTTCCACAAGATATGCAAAAACAATGCAATAATATTAATTTTAACTACAGTTGTGAGTCATGTTGGCATTAAAACTGTATAGAGATGAAAAACAACAACAGTAATTTAAGGGGGGAAAAACAACCCAAGAAGGAGTTTTGCTTCGATATATATTCCATGTGATGTTTTATTGCATTGATAATGTTTCTGTTGAAGAAACTGTAATACTTGAATTCAGGTCAGTTTCAGTATTTTTCAAATATTTTTTTAAAACTGAATTGCAATTGTGCCAAGCAAATATAATGAATTGAATTAAGTTTGTTTTCGAATTCACTTCTTGTATATTTGGCTGCATGTAAAGTAAACCATTTTGTATTTGGAGCGTGATAAGCTTTCCCTGTGGACTCTTTAAATAATTTTTTTTTTTGCGTAATTGGGGAAGGGGAGAGACTTTTTTTTAACGTGTACAATAAGCAAAAGCATTACTGGAGTAAGTAACTATTCTGCGGTTCTCAGCTGGATGGGTTGGAGATGACCAATTTTGCATATCTTGTGTTTCCTTTTCCCTTTCTCCCTCAAGCTTGGTAGAGCCTGAATAGCTCAGTGCAGAATTTTGATTTCAGACACCAGGATCTTTTGCTTCCCGTCTTCACATCCTCCAATTTTCTTCCCATCTTCACATTCTCTGCTTGGATCCTCTCAGTTGATGCTTTTCCTCTAAGATAGGCCATATCCTATTGAGGAAGTCTGCTTGCCATAAGCCTGGCTTTCAATTCCACTATAGCTGAACTAACGTTTGCACCATTCCCAACCCCACTCCAGGATGTGGCTAATGTCTCTTTTAATTCCCTCAGCAGAAACTTTGCTTACCAATTTCCTGGGCATATTATATTAGAAAAATGAGGGGTGAGAATGCTGGAGAGTAGTTACTTAGGGCGGTCACTCCAAGAGCTCCCTCCTCTCAAGAACTTACGGTAATGCCTTAAGCAAAGCCTGGACTGTTGTCATTGCCTCCATCCTAAAAACTAAATCACTCTAGAAGGACCTATGGAGTTAGAGCAGGCAGAGTTTAAAATGTCTTTGGAAGAAGGGACTATGCTAGAAGGATTTTATTCTACGGCCTTTGACATCTGCCTGAAATGCACATACTTTTTTCTTCACGTATTTCCTAACACTTTTGCCTGGTAGTAAGAAAGGGGTCAAATTAGGGATTAGGAAGATTGATTCTTGAATCTTTTCCATTCACCAGTTTTCTTTTGATCCTTCCCATGAACTATGTAGGCTAGAAGGTGAAATTTGGAAAAGTTCATTCTTTGGAAAGGATGAGTCTTCCTACCATGTGGGACTCAAAAAGGATCTTAAGAGAATTTTAAATAGTTAGCTAAGAGAGGTTAGCTTCCTGAGGAAGACACCCTGCTAGACAAAAATCTTCAGTTCAGGTTTTAGTCTAAAGTGAATTGGAAAAAGCGCTGAACATATGAGTGCTTCCTCAGACTCATCTTATTTGAGCTTTCTGGTTTGTTTTTCTTGACATACAGGTCTTTTGAGATATCCTATGACCACAGCCCTGGAGTAGCTTTTTATTGGGATCTCTGTTCTGATCAGGAGAGGAACTCATTAGGGCTTGATGTACTTTCCATACAATTATTCCATGTATAAAAAATGGAGATCTTATAGGATTATGCTTATCCTTTCATGTTGTTTACTAATTTTCTTCTTCTGAAATTCTCAGCCACATAACTAACTCATAATATATTGCAACATGAGACTATTAGGTTAGCACTCATGTCAAATTATCCTGTCCACACTCCTAAGTCTTCCTTAGAGAAAATGCTTTCAAGAAAACCATAGTAACTCAAGTTTGCACTCTAGAAGGCAGTGACAATGATAATAATAATGCCCTACCATATGTTTAAACTGCTCTAATGGTCAGAGAGAAGTTCTCCCTCTCTAGATCAATGGGTCTTGAATGTGATTTCATGTTCTGCCGATTTTATACCAGTGATGGTGTTGTTTGTTAAAATCTGCATACAGCCAAGAAGAAAACCAAACTGTTTCATTCTTTCCATGGTAAAAGAGAAACCCTACTTAGATCCAAGGGACCAGACATCACCTTGCAGGGTACATTCACCAGCCTCTTGCACATTCATCTTGGGTGACAGAATCAAAGCAGCTAATGGTTGAAGATAGTAAGAGTTTAAAGAAGTACAGATTAAGTTGGTTCAAGAATCATATGTCCCATTTTCACTTGCCCACTGTCTGATATCTTTCAGAAGCAGCCTATTTTCTTTCTAGACATGGGTTTGTGGCCTACTTCAGACAATAAAAGGAAAGATTCTTCTGTCGTATTATGAATCAAACCAAGTCTTTTAAGTTATCTCCCTTAGCTAACTATTTCTACAACATTTCTCTGGATGAAAAGCAAAAATGAAACTCAGTGTTATGATTTAGCTTTATTGATGAGTATTTCAATAACTTGAATTATTAGTTCTTGCTTCCATATGCCCAACTCTGTCAAAATAGTGAACATTCATTTTTTTCAGGGAACCAGGGTCCTTGTGATTGTGACTGAGGAGTAGACTACCAGGATTCTATCTTTTTGTCCCCTCTCTTCACTTATTTCTTATTTCATCAGACACCTAGGTTTCGAATTTCAGGTTCTTCTCTGCAATATTGCTGCCATCCCATCACCTTGTGAGAGCCAATCTTTTCCCACAAGTCCCATAAGTGAGAATACAAGGACAGGGGGGAAAAAATCCATGTCCTTCTCTCAATCCCTTGTAAAAAATGAAGAGCACACCTTTCCTTCCTTCAATCAGTCAACAAACATTTATTAATCACCTGTTGCGTGAAAAGCACTGTGCTGGGCTCTAGGAGTATTACAGTTTAAATAAGTCTCTGCTCTCATGGATCTCACAGTTTTAAAAGGCTGGGGGTTGTTTTTTAAAGAAAATAGTGGCTAAATATTGCCCATCACCAGTAAGGACAGGACAAGAAAAAATGAACAGACCAGATTTAGCTTAGACTTAAGGCAGAGTTGACTGGTATGCAGAAGTTCAATTTTAGAGCATCAGGCAGTTAATCAGAAGTGATGGCATCTCCATTCCTGGAATTATGGAGGAGAGACACAAATGTTATCCTTGACCTAGAGATTCTTCTTAAGTCAGATATTCTGTAATTACAGTTCCAAAGAAAACCAGTAGAGTCAGAAATGGAATTTTCGGAGGCTTTCTGGTTCAATCCCATTTGGATTGAATCCCACTGAGCAAAGAGCTCCTACCTCCTTTAGGAAGGG